GGAGAGGAGGCGAACTCCGCCCAGCGGAGCGGCGGCGACTGGAGTCGTACGCGGCATAGCCCTGTAGAACAGAATGCTAACCGCAGCGTGGTCTTGCTAAACAACGTTACACCTGAGACAGTGAGAGGTAAGCCACGTCAGAACATTTCTGTGCTACCTCGGTTAGAGAGTGCAGACAAGCAGACATGACGTGGCTTGACATAGCTTGAGAGCTGTCCGCTCCCTCAGAGGACCCAGCGCCACTTTTATTACAAAAGTGAAAAATTTCCCTTTCTGAATCTATGGGAGTTCATCCACCTAAGCTTGGGTAAATTCCTAATCCCAGGGAACAGCCGCTTTTTTCACTAAATGCTACTCCAGTACTAAATGCTATTCAAAACACGAAAAAAAATTAAGGAAATTGCGTAGAAACGACGCGCAAGGCTTCAAGAGACAGTATAGAAATTTGCCATGACTGTAATCAGACGAACTTGCACCGGATGGTCCTTCGATCACAGTGACTCCACTACCTAGCAATTTTTGATTTGTAATTTCTATATAGAGGTATGCAGTGTACACATTCCTTGGAAGATGACACATGAAATGGAGCGAATCCATCATTTTCTAAGACGACAACAGAGAACGACTCCGTGTCAAAGTAAAGGTCACATTACTACAATAGAAAGTTCCGCAAAACAATACATCCCAGGGCACTGTCAGAACTGGTGACCTCATTGGACTGTGGGAAGAAACAGACATCTACCGATAAGGAGATTTGGCTTGAAGTGTGAGATGCGTAGGAAAATCCACCTCAACCATTGCGGTTGGAGAGTTGGAGAACCCCCCCCCCAAAGAAAACATATGAACTGACTGAATGGTTTGATCCCTCAAAAGTTGAGAATGACTGTATTCGCTAAAAGGGTGTTTCCAGAGCGCTTGCAAACAAGACCACAGAATTCCTGAGTTTCATTGCGTATGAGTTTTCTTCGTGTCTTATCGAGGCGAGACTTCCAAACGTTCGCGGAAAGTTTCATACGAATAAAACGCGAAAAACCCACAAAGCGACTTCGTTGACCCCGCCCACATAAGAACCGGAGAATCTGCGGAAGGAACCTGGTAGGTATTGATGGTTGTATTACTAGTCCTACGCTAGCGATTCCAAGGCTCTTTCGATCAATATCTATCTAGTAATTATTGTCGAGTGTTCATTTGAGCGGAGGCGAGCCGGAATAACCTATCAATCTGCATCTATCTTTCCGGAGACTCTCTGACAGCTGCGATCATACTACGCGACTTGGGCA